TCTCTGATTCAGAGGTGAATGAATTCATAAAACACATGCACAAAAGGAGGTTGCCAAGCAACTTGGAGCCTGAAACTCCCCCACCAAGCTATGAAGGTAGAGAACAGGCAGCCGAGGCAATCTGTAATGTTCACTTCTTTGCCACAGGTAATAGTAATAATACATACAATATAGACCTATTTAAGAAGGGAATAACTCATTGATAATTGTGGAAAACAACAGCTGGTCCTGACAGACTGTGTATTTTATGTATTTTGCCTCTGTCTTAAGATGATGTGTCTGCTTTTGGAGCACTTAGCCAAAAGTAAGGTCAGCGACAAGGCAGCAATGTTGGAGTGGGAGAAGATGGAGAGGAAAGAATTATTCTATCTTAAGGCAACTGACAACAAGATTGACAACTAGTGGAAAAGTTTTAGAGCAGAGCAAAGTGTCTGACACAGATTCTGCCTCAGATCAATCTCATGTTTTTCTGTGATCTCAGTATTTGATGCTTTTTACAAACATACTTTAATATATTCATTGTACATCACACCATATCCTGTCTTCTCTCTGGCTTTGCATAACTATGAAGCCTTGGGCATATCAGATGAATCCAGGACAGGATGCAGCTGTGACATGCATGGAAGAGCTACATGATGGTGCTCCTGTTTACCCATCATTTCACTCACAGAATACCCTGTAGTGGCCACAGCCAATTAAGTTGAAAGGGAGAGTTTTTCTTTCTTTGTTTCTGTCTGCTATATCCCGAGGTAAACTTGACCCTTTGATTTGTATCATTCTCATGAAAAAGTTATGCTGTATTTAGGTATAAGAAAAAAAATATTCTGTGTCTTAACGGCCCTGGGCTTGGGGTAAAGGGAAGAGAGGTCTGCAAAAGCACAACCAGAAAAATTCCAGTCAAGACCTGGATCTAGGTTGAATTTCTCCCATGCTGTGTATATAATTCCCTTTGACTCCTTATAAAATCCTAGCCCTGTGTTGTTTCAATGCCCTGTCCCTTTACAAATGGCATGGCTCAAATCTCAGTTTGAAATAATTTAGATCAGCAGCCCAGGTCAGGGCATCTGGAACTGCATTTAATTTTCTTTTTGTGCTCCTCTTGATGAGGGACACTACTGTGTTAATGGAGTTTTGTTCATTTCTTTCAGGCTGCTCTTTCCCCAGCTGATGTCATGATTAGTGACATCAAAGTCACCCCTTAGTGAATGTTGGTGATGACATGACTAGAGGAGGATCCTTACAACAGGCAGGAGATTAAGCAGCAAGTTAGAAGTACTGGAAGAACAAAGCTCCTATTTTCATGCATATAACAACCGTCAAAATGAGTGAAGGGGAGATGGGAATTAGGTGATACATTAGTAAAATTATTACTCAAAGGGCTTTTGCTCAAAGTTTTGCAAGAGGAATCAGTGATGCTTTCATCTCTCACCTTGGGTATTGTTGGTGCCACGTTATATTCTGGGCATGTCGAAATGTAACACAGTGTAACGAGACATGATCTGTTGGATAAGGCTTTATGTAGCATGAAAAGGTTCCTCTGCTTTCTCTTTTTATTATTTACATTCCGAGAGAAGGTTATGTGTCATGTGGGCTTTGCGGAGATAAATGACTAGCCTCAGCTTTCTGGCAGCTTCCCCAGAACTCGTGGAGGATCTGCTGAAGTGTTGGCCTGAGGACTTTGAAGACTTAAGCTCAGTTCTGGGCCTGGAAGGATGTATGAGAACCTGTGGTTGTGTGTCCTGCAGATAGGTTCAGCAGGGCACAGGAGGTAGTACAAGGGGCTCTGAAGTAGCACAGAGAGAAGTGCAGCTGGGCACCAGTGTAAACTAGTAAGCTGTGCTGGGTAGTACCAAGGTGGATTGGTCAGCACTGCAGTCGTGGAGGCATGGGAAGTCAGGACTGGAGCGAAGAAGCTGAACTGAGTGCAGAAATTTTGACTGGTGCCTGCCAGTTGGAGTGCTGAGTATGTCTGGCCAGTGCTTCTGTCCACTACTACCACGAGCTCTAATGTTTACCACAGTTATCACAGTAATTTCATGGCAGATAAGTAACTGGATATGCTGTAAAGCATAGGATTGAGTGACTCCTGTCTGCCACAGAGTTGAATCTTTGCCTCCCAGGTGTTTCAAGAGTAGTGAGTGTATGGCCATGTTGTCAGCCCCTTGCTCTATTTGCTGCTTCGTTAGTCTTTGTGCTGGGTGCAGTCTGGGGGAGCACAGCATTTGGGTATGGGATTTGGCTGGGATGACTTCTGTGAAGGGAACAGGCAGTTAACAAGCTCTCTGGTTTCCTTGCTGGTACATACCTCTGTTATGACTCTCCTGTGGATGGGATGTCAGAGCTGCGGATGTGCTTGTCAGGAGGAGAGCTTTCAAAGGAAGCTTTAACCGAAACAGAGAGGTTTCCTTGGCTGGACCTGCAGCCTATGGGCCCCTCCACTGTTGCCCACAGGGAAACAACGCAGATGATCTCTGTCTGGTCTCTTCCCCCATCCACCATTTCCTGGGGTTTAAGATCTGGAAACTCCAGAAGATTTTCTGACATTGAATTAAGTAAGACAAGCTTGACTTTGATCAGCCTTGAGAGGAATCATAGAGCTCGTGTCTCTGCCAGTCCCATGCTATTTGCAATTAGAATTATGGCAAACTTTCCTGGTTTTCTTAGATGAAAAAGCCCTTGCTTAGAGTTTCTCTTTTCTTATTTTGACTGAGGAAAGAACCTCTCAATTAAAATGCTGTGCTCTCTCCCAATATAGAGAAGAGATAAGAGTTGTTAAAGCTGTATGCATCAATTGCAAAAGAGAACACGTTTTATTTTGCTTTGTGCTATTTACAGCTGTTGTCCATTAGGAGTCCTCAAGAGCCTCATTCTCTGCTACAACAGTACAGTCCCATAAGTTTAGCTCAGCAATGAGCCTGCAAAACAGCACTAAATCATGATGATGGGAGAAAGAAGAAAATCTTTGGAAATGGCAAAATGCAGCTGATATCTTCATGAAAGCTAGTTTTTGCTTGTTGTTATTTTAGAGCATAACTAAGGTAGATGTAACGCATAACTAGCTGGAGCAGAATAGAAATTGTCTACTCTAATTTTGGAAAAAAACAAAATCAGAATGGCTAGTAGTTTTGTGGGAGCTGAAGGGATCTTTTGCGATCCCTAAGTGCCTTAGGCACTTATCAAAATATACTAACCTCACAGGTAAGGCAAAGTGTAAGAATGATAGGAGGCTAATATATGGCTACTGAGATACAGAATTCCAGTTGCTTTTACTGGACCAGAATATGACTTCTCTGTGTGAACTCTTTGAACTGAGTGCAGATCACTCTTCTGCTTAAGAGGAAGGTGTGCAGGGGGGATTGTTTCCAAATCTGTCTTCGTCCATGGAAGATGTAACTGAGTTGTACTATAAGACACAAATTGAGCAGAACTGTGCAGAATGTACAGTTTAGGAGAAGAATTAGTGCTTATTCCTCATTTGACTGTGAAATGAGAAGTGTCATCTGTATTCTCAGCTCAGACATCCTATGCTTTGTTGGACAAATCACTAAACAGCTCTTTAATAATATCTATATTTTTCAGCATGGTGTTCTACCTCTCTTTCACATTAAGTGAATGATTTCTAAGGCATTTGGAAACTGAAGGGCAGCTTTGGGAGCAAAGTGCAAAGGCGTATAACTTGCTAATTCAGCACTTGTTTACAAGGGCACTCAGCTGATGCTTTTGGTTTTGTTTACTTTTCTGATACCACTCCTGAGCCTGTCAGTTAGGGTCCCTCAATTCATGCAAAGGAACAGAGCCTGAGCTTTGATGTTGCCTGATAGAGTGGGACAAACCTATCCCGGCATCGCTGAGATGCCCTGACAGATAATAGTTTCCACTAAAGTAAATCTGTCAGGTTGACCTGTGACAATGGCCTGGGACTGTGAATGCTCACAAAAGGATCATTTTAAGAGAGATAATCACTTTGTCCTTTCCCTTTACTTTCTAAGCCTGGCAGGTGTCTTCCTCTTCTTTCTCCTGTTTCCTTGGCCCATCCGTGGAGTATGCTCAGCACAGATGGGATCTTCAAAGAATCTGCTGTCAAACTTGGTCTTTTCTAAGCATATGTATACTGAGAGATTTTGGAGACTTATAACTAGACCAAATGTGGGTGCTTTTTCACAGGAACAACAAATAACATATCTGATAACAAGGAAACTTTCTCTGTCAAGTTGCAAGTCTACTTTGAAACAGGTTCAGTAGAGCTTATCAATGAACTGTTCAGTACGATTTTGATTATTTTTATTTTCTTTTAAAAAGCACCTCCCTGAACCCTCTCCCCTCCCCCAGATTCCCACAGCTTATCTCTCCCATGCTAAATGTATTGCTAGAAACATCTGAACTCTTCTAGTTGCAACTTCAGAGAATCAGCTTTGCAGATCTGAGTGCGTGTCTATATTATATGAAACCAAAATCTGTCCTTCCACCAGAAGTAACAGCCTTAGCTATGCACATTGTTATTTCTACCGTTTATTGGATGGATATTAAATAATGGTTATTTTTGAGAACTCTACCTCTGCAGCTTATCTGGGTTACATATTTATGTATTTAATTATATCAGCTTAACTTGATTAGTTATGATTCTAACCCTACAACACAGATTACTGCTTGAGATCAGGCAGCTTGTATGTCCTTGGAGCCCTTATGGGTGGACAGATCTACTTAGGGAGCTAGAAAGTTCTCAGTTGTTAACGGTGAGATACTGAAAGCAGAGCAGGGCCTTAGGAAATTAAATAATTTCTAGCTGTCTTTTAAACCTTAGTGAAATTTGATAGGGTCAGACTTTCCCAGAATTCCCAGAAAGTATGCTGGTGCCATTTTGACAGACAGTAGGGTAAGAGATGTATTTTCCTTCAACTATTTCTTTGGTTGTTATCTCAATTAAAAAGGAATAAAACGCGCTTGCAAAAATATTATTCAAAAAGAAGTTCTGTCTAGGCTTTTCTTGCTTTGTTTTACAGACAATCGTCCTTATGTGTTTCTAATGGCCCGTGTTCACCCTGGTGAAAGTAACGCCAGCTGGGTAATGAAGGGGACCCTGGAATTCCTTGTAAGCAGTGATCCCATTGCTGATCTCCTGCGGAAATGTTTCATTTTCAAGATTGTCCCCATGCTTAATCCTGATGGAGTCATCAATGGCAAGTGAGTTGTGACATGTACTTGTTCTGGGTTTTTTTTTTCTGCGTTTTTCTTCAGGCTTTACCCCTCCGAACCTAGTGGGTCTCATCTTCAGTGTTTTGGGTCAGAAAAATTCACTTTGTCTTGTGTTTTACGCATCCTGTTGTCAATCCTGCATGGAAAATACGGGTCCGAGAAACAGTCCAGTATGCTGTCTTGCACACTTGGATGTAAGTGATTCTGTCCTCTGTGGCCATAAGATCTCTCAGTTGCTTGGATGGAGTATTAGTGGTGCCAGAAAAAAAGGATCTTTCTGGTTAAGTACAGCAGGGCAGACTTCGCCTGCAAGACAGATATGCTTGGGAATAACTGGCTTTAATTAATGCTTTGTGTAGCCTGGTGAGGGGGAAGATGAGTAAGGATCTATTAAATTTTCACATTTTCATGGAAATATTTCCATATAGTGAAGCTCTCTCCTTCTCCCACCTCTTTTTCAATCTTCCCTCCCACGTGTTTCCTAAGAGATACTGAATCTGAGCTTGGAAAATAGTGATTCCTTTTTGTGTTCTTTGCCTTTACACCATCCCTGCCCACCCACACTAACTTGCTTTCCCTCTCCCTGTACATGAGTGGAAAAAGTACAACTCTGCTCCTAATATGTTAACATGAAATAAATATTGTTATGCAGCAAGTGAAAGAGGAACTGCATTTGAAGAGTCCACTAAGATGAAGAAGGGTTGTACTTTCCTGGAAAAAACCTACAGTGTCTCTGCAGACAGGGGAGTTTGCTCACTTTGAGTGTTTGTGGAGTGGCTGTAGGTTAATAACTTACCGGTCCTGTCTGTGATGCAGTACATGATGATCACCTCGAGAGTTGTGTGTTTTGGTGAGAAGAGTTTACAGGCTTTGGCAACGCCTGTGTCCCTCAGCTTGTTGCAATGGAACATGCAACAAATTTTGAAGCTGAAAGATGGGTTTAGACAAGCCCTGAAACACATAACAGAGTATGGAGGAACGACTTTTCGTAAGCTACATTCTCCCATCTGCTTTTGTGTCAGATCGAGTGCTTCAGAAACAGAACAACAATACTGAGCAACAACTGAGCTGAGTTTGGTTCTAAAGAAATTAATTTCAGTTTGAGGTGAGAGGTTCAGCAGAGAGCAGCCTGGGCTTTTCTGACAGTCTCTAGGACTGTTGGTAGTCACAGACTAGCTTTTGTGTTACCATGCTCCCCAGGACGCGAGCATATCAGTAGTCTGGGAGGATTGTTCCGGGTAGCTGGATACTGCCCCAGAGTATTCGAAGCCTCTGCTGTCACCAAATGCTTCCTTGATCCTTCCAAGCAGCAGAAGCAAAAAAGAAAGGTTGTGGCTGTTTTTTCTTTTTTTTTTTTTTTTTTTTCCCCCCCTCTTTCTTTCACTGCACTTAATTAAAGTTTCCAGCAGATGGAGGACTGGAGGGAATGTCTGACCTTTTTTTCTCCAGCTGTCGGGAGTGAGTGCAGCAGAGCAGGGGCTCTCAGGAGGGAGGACATGGCTTTGGTGACACCTGGATGAAGTGTGCTGCCCGAGCTTGTGTCACACAGGAAAGTGCTTTGCTTAAACTGTAGTTAAATCTGGTGATGAGTTAAAAAGTTTGGTTAAGCCTTACATGTGGGAGGGGACTTGGACATGACTCTGTTACGGATTGTGAGGCCTGGGGGAGAGAACCATTCCTTTATGCTTTAATTTAAATACTTTTATCCCGTGAATCCTCCTGTGGCCCAGACTTTCTTCTTGTTTATTCCCATGTGCTTTTTTAACAGGCTTGGGTCCTCCTACACTGAAAGAAATGCTTCTGTTCTGGGCCTCAGGTTTACTGGTGGTGTGCTGGAGGTAACCATGCACATTGGAGGAGGTATCTTTCAGGCCCTTAATGTCTATATGTGAACATGAGGATTTATTTGGTTACTTAATGTTCAAATGCTTTAGTAAACTCAGTAATCTTTCAAGTCAACGTTAATGTTTTCTGAGGAAGCTGGTCTAGACCCCATCAACCACAGTACTTGTAAGAAGATACTTGCTAAATGTTTTTTTTTACATGTCTGAAACCTGTTTTACAAACCACTTCATGAAGCAACTTGTTTGCCCTGGGATTTGCAGTCCCTCTTGTGGAAGTCCCACCAGGCCATCCCCGAACAGACTGTGAGAGTTGCCTGCTGTTCCCTCTGCCAACATCGCAACCTGCTCGTCTTTTCTACTTTTAGACAAGTTGCTGTGCTCTCACACCTCACCTCCCCTGCCATGAGGAGTGGACAGACTGAATGCATCAGATGCACTATCCAGGCCAACAAGTGTCCTGGCTCTGTGCTGGGTACTGGGAATACCTACATGTGGTAACCAGTGAGCTTGTCTCTTACCATGAAACAAGGATTTCTACTGTTTCAGTGCCTCTGTTGCTTTCATCTTGGTATCTCAGTATCTTTCTTTACTTAGAGAGTTGGATTATTTTTTGTTGGCAGCTCTGAGCATCCTTACTTTCCCTCCTCCCCAGCCCCGTGTGCTGGGGTGTGCATAACACTTCCCTGCCCGTCACAGAGACGGATGCCAGTGTGTGATTCCAAAGGATTTCTTCCAGCAGCCCAGCCGTGCCCCTTCCCCAGCTGGCTCCCTGCCCCAGGAGCAGCTCAGTGGAAGAGGGTTCATCCCAGCAGGGCACCACACGATCACACTTGCTCATGCAGCAAGATGATCACAGCCTTGGTATTTGCTTTGGTTAATGTGATCAGAAAGTTACATGCGGAGAGTGTTCCTCTAGCCCAGATAGGACTGCAGCAATGTGATTATGCTCCGGCTGCGTGTGGATGAGCTGGGAAGCAGCTCTCCACCCTCCCTGTCTCTTCAGTCAGTGCTCTGAGAATCCGTTCTCATCTGTCAGTGGTGGAGAGACTTGCAGCCCTGCCAGTGACACTAAATGAAGGTAGTGATGATGCAAGTCTGCCTGTATGAGTGGGGTTGTAATCAAGTAAAAATATAGATCACTATCAAATATTGCAACTAATTTGACTTTGTTCAATCCAGAGAGAATTGGTGAGCAATTGTGTTGCTGTCTGTGGTTGAGTGTTTTGCTCCATCCTGAACAGCACTCAGGTGTAGGGTTTGTCAAGTAATATTCAGCTGATCTGATAATAGCTATATATTTTAAATTAAATAATAAGACACTGCTTTTCATAAGGTTCATCATCTACTTTCTGCCAGACACTAGCTTTTGACCACTGTTGGTGATGGGATGCTGCCTCATATAGGTCTGTGGTCTGACCTGATATGGTTATTTGTATGTTGGTTTTTTTTTTTTTTTCAATATAAAGGAAAGAACAGTCTAAATCTCCAAGACCAGTAGTATAAGTCAGTCTGAAGTGACAGACATGTACTTTGACAGAAAGTGTCTTTGCAGCCTGACTTTATTTTGCACAAGTTGTTCTGTGAGAATCCAAAGTAATAAGTGGTGTTTGGGTGTATGGCTCACTACCTTCACCATTACCTCTAGACCCTTCTTAAACTAAATCATAGTAAAATAGGAAAGCTTTAAGAGCAATTAGTCTCTATTAAGCATTGGAGAATCCTTGAAGAAGAGTATAATTTTCCTTAGGAAAGTGATATAAAATGCAGTGGGCGAGCAAGAGACCCATGCTTTATTCCTGCCTCTGCTACTGATGGACTATGAGACCTTGGTCATTGACCCCTCCTATTGGCTGTTTTCTTCCTTAGAGAATGAGGTCATGACATACCTCATAACTCTGGTTTGAAATGAAGACTGAAGTATGCATATTAGGAGAATTTTCTCTTCAATCTACATCTACTGTTTTAACTATTAAGCTTGTTTTTAACTTACAAAATGTGGAAAATACCACTCTCAAAAAATTTGAGGAATGGTGCAGAGCAGCCTTTTTTTGGATTGCTTTAAAAAAAAGTTCATCTGTTCAAGTGAGATCTTTGTACCCCAAAACTAGATCAATTATAGCGATGGTTTTGTAAAATCCAGAAAGCAGGGTTCAGTAAGGGAACTTATAAAAAGCCTAATTATTGCAGCATAAAAGGAAGGATTTTATGAAGAAACAGAACTCTGCTGTCCGCGCTGTTCCATATAGACTCATTATCACGCATTTGAGCAGTGAGTTGTGTGTGTGCTCGTGCACGCCTGGGCAGTTGCACGCTAACTTGTGATGTGCTCATATGCTGCCTGCTGTGTGCCCCTCTGTCAGCAGCTGGTTCCTGCAGAGGTTGCTCAGCATCTGCTCAGACCTGCAAACCATCCACACGCACACCTGGCACTCCCACGCCTGTGCTCACAGACACAATGTGGTAGTCAACATTTTGTGGTTTTGGCTGGACTTCTCCAGACACTGCAGTTCTAGATAAATATTGCTATTTATTACACCTAAATTTAGGGTTATTAATTATATCAGTATAACCTAATTTATATCGCCATAAACAGCAGTAATAAATGATGCCAAATGCTAACTCAATGCTTGCCAACTGTGCCTGTTTGATGAGGGTTTTTTTCCCCCAGTTCCCAGAAGTATTAAATTAAAAATGATCAGCCTTGCAAGATCATTGATCAAGCAAGAAGTGGAAGCTCCTGGGGAAGTGATTTTGTTTTAAAAAATACTTCACATGCACCTGCTCATGGTGTGGCTGTATTTTGTGTATTCAGAAATTCTCTTCCCCCTGACAAATTCCTAACTGGCCAATATGACAGTTCTCCGAGTTCATGCCTCACTTCCTACGTTGCCACCTTCTTCCTCTTCCTTTACTTCCTTTTGATGTTTCCTCTTTCTTCTCTTCTGTCTGCCCTTTTCTTACTCTCCCCACCCTCCTATTGAATCAAAGAAGCTTTTCATTGAAAAGAACTTGATGCATTTTATAAATGAATTGAACCAATCAGTGGAGATGGGAGCTGGTGAGTCTTTTTTTGGTAAAGGAAGATGAATTTTTTTTGGAAGCTGCATGATTTCTTCAAAGCCATGGGGTAACCATAGTAGCAGT